CTGGGCCATGGGACATGGGAAGATGGGTGAATCTTGGGCGTGTGCCAGGGGCCCCGTCTGTTACTTGTAGGTTCCCCACTCGCCTGACTGGGAGCTTTTCACCCTTTACAATCCTCGTCCAGCTTGTGAACGGGACCACACATCTGCCACTTCCTGGCCATAGTCTGTGGGCTCCCAGTCAGTACAGATCTTTGTGTTGGGGTCAGAGGAGCCCCCGGCTGCGGTGGCAGCAGCTCTGTTCTTCTGCACTGGGCTCTTGTGGCAAGTTCAGAGAGAGCTGCCCCTCCCAGGTTTGGATTGGTGCTGCAGTAGCCTGGCAGGCTTTTGTATCTGCTAGTTTCTTTGGTTGTTGGATTGGCATGCATCTTCCAAAGTGTTCCCCTTCTGGCCCAGTGAACACATGTTAAACCTCCTAATGAGCCTTTGGAATTGTGTTTTGTCTTATAAACTCCTGCTGCAAGTGGCTGTAACAAACCCCTAAGCTAGCAGGCAGCAGGGACGAGTCAGGGACAGGAGAAGAGGATGAGCCCTTCTATTCAGATTATCTACCCCAGGCCAGAACAAGCTGCTATGGGCTTTATCTGTGGTTTTTAGAGATAGCACTACTATTAATGAATGCCCATGAAGGCCCTTCTGAGATGGTATTGCTTGAATGGTCTTGTTCCTGGCATCTTGTTCTTGGCATTAAAGCACATTCCCACTGAGGCTGCGGGGGTACGGCGTGCTTACAGTGCCATCTCCTCTCCGTGGAGTGCTCCATTCAGCACCTTTCACAAGCGTTACGATAGTTAATGTAACGTTTGTTAGTGATTTCTGTGGCAGTGTTCACAAGCGAGCCGGGTGGATGCTCGTTCCTCTGGGTGGGTGGAAGTAGGAACAGAGCAGCCTTGTTGCCTACGTGGATATCTCCATTCTTCTCATGCACAAAAGAGCAAATACACTGGTGGCTTGGGACGGGGTGGTACAGGCCCTCCTTCAGCTCAAGAAGAGATGAACCTTTGTATTGCTACCATGAGCTGCTGCTTCTAGGGTGCTGCTGTTCTGTCTCAGATGAAACTCCAGGCAGAGCCCCTGCCTCTTGCTGTCACGAGAGCTGCCATTAAGTCCTTCAGTTAGAAATGCCCATAGACAAGCATCTCTGCCTTCTGCCTGAGGTCCCGGTTCTTCCCACTGGTCCCAGTGGAGGGTTTCCTCTTTCCCGTTCAGAAGGGCCATGAGCTGCTTCTGGGCAGCGTAGGAGCTGGTGTGGATCCCAGAGCTGCGTCTAATAGACACACCTTCCTTTTTGGCCATCAGCAAAGTGACCTTGCCTCTCCCAGCGAGGTGTATCCCTTCTCCAAGCCAGTTTTGCAGCAGGATCAGGCAGGGGGAGCTTTTCATGGCCTTAGATTTGTGGAGACAGGTAGAATCTCAGGCATGGAGTCCTGCTTAAAAGTTATTGCTACCACTTCTGGGTACTTTCAGAAGGGTTTATTTTGAGGGTTTCTTGGTTTCTACTTTAAAACTCCCTCAGAGAGAGTACAATGAGGCTGAAACCAGTAATTTAGAGAGGGGAGTGTCAGTAAGAATCAGAAGTGACAGAGTGGGTTTTGATTCCTTTTCCTTTTGAAGCTGCTTCCCCTTTGATTATATCCCTCACATTGTAATGTGTAGATCTAGAAAGGTGATTATTTTTTAACATCTCTCAAAATAAGCAGCATGTCAAGCAAATATCACCACCTTTATAAATGGGTGCATATATATTGCAATAAACGTGCTAGGATACGTATAGCACCATCTTTTGACAGCTGAGTATAATCAGAGCCGTTGGACGTTGTATCACGAGCTCTGTCGTGGGCTGATGAAGCAAAGTCTGAGGAGGAAGGACTGAAGATGCTCCTGTAGCGAAGAGGTAAGATGCCAGCATGCACAGGGGTGTCAGGGGCCTTCTGAGATGTCCTCTCTGTCCTGACACGTGACAGAGACGCAGCAGTGAAGTCCTGATGCCTGTTTTGCTCTCTGCATGGTTGTGGAGAGGAAGGAGGTTCTTTTTTATCATTCTCATGAGAAGGCTGAAGCTGGCACGGTAGCTCTTGGTATTGCGATAGACTTTGTTAGCTGCGGGAAAAAAAGGCAGCCACGCATTTTGCAATTGCTTCAAAGCTGGTGAAGAAGAAAGGAAACATCAACAAGACCCTTGTATAAAACACACAGCCTGAGGTTCTTCAGATACAGACTGTTTAGGGGAATATTTAAAACAAACGTTTAAAATGACACAAAGACAAACCAGCAGGGAAGCAAGGTTTGCCCTCCACTTTGTCAAATACAGGGGAGGAAAGCGAAGCAACTCTGAGCTATGCTTTAGCGAAGATCCGAGCATGTTCCTAATCCCCGATGCATTTCATGTATTTAAAGGCCTTACTTGCTGAAAACATAAAAGGCTCCATAAATTCAAGCAATATTTTTCACTTCAATTAATCATCCCAGAAAATGGTAACTTTATTGTCTCTTTGTCTCTGTTTAGTTTGAACAAATCCAACTTTTCTCATTGTCTCTCTGCAGATTATGAAAGGCTTTGTGGATTATAGCATCAAATTAAATTGAGCCTGTTAGTGTTACTCTCAGAATATCACAGTAATGGGCTGTGCCTCAGGCGGCATCGCCCTTCTTTCTCTTTTTAAAATGTTTTGCCTGCGTCCGTGTTGCTCTGAGCTGGTGTGTCTCTCCTTGCTAATAGGGAAGTGTATAAAAATCACATAATCATTAATATTGAAGAATCATTAAGGTTGATAAAAGCAGCTCTGGCTGCGATGATGTTGTTTTTCATGGTCACTGCTTTTGGAAAATATGCCATACAAACATCAGCTCAGTTGTTTTTTAGAACCCACCAGTTGATCTAGTGGCTGTTTGACTCCATCTATTGCACTCTCGGAGATAGCTCCAGTTAGATGATCATTTCACAAGCCTGCAGGAATAAATGGATTTCTAGAGGCTGTCTCTGCTGCCTTCATCCCTTTTCCACAGCCCCTGTTTTTGATGCAGACAGCATCCGAAAGCCAGCAATCTGTAGTTGAGCAGTAAAGTCTTGGTTGGCTTTTTATTAAAGCAATGATGTGCTGACTGGCTGAAAAGTGTCAAAACTGCAATCTTGTAACATCAACAAAATAAGGCAGGGTGCCTTTCTTATGGGAGAGGAATGCTGAAAGCATAAACGAGCCCTGCATGAAATCGGTGGATCTGAGCACTTCTCCTCTGGGGAGAGGGTATGATGTACATCAGACACGGTCGCTTTTTCCCATTAATAAGAAAAGACCAAAGTCTTAGGGTTCATGACACATGACTCACCTTCGCCTTCCTCTCCCCCCTGCAGTAGTTCCTCGACAGTGCATCCAGCTGGGTTTTCCTCTCTTAAGCAGAACTAGAATTGATGTAACACTGAAGGTATTACGAAAGTGCCAACCCAATCTGAGCATGCAACAAAAGGCTGGGAAAGCTGGGGGAATCTGGGATAATATTTTAAAGTCTGTTAGTGAGAAGAAGGAACTGACCTCAGCCAAATAGGAATATATCTCGGGAAAACCCCTGGGCATAAGCAGAGTGTGTGAGTCTTTGTGGTTACACTGGAAAGGGAGATGATAGGGACAGAACTGGTACAAGCAGTTTCTCTTGCAGAAACAAAACCTGAACCTCATCCAAGCATCTTTGCTGCCAGAGACTCTTCGAGGTCTGACTGTCAGGGGGTGGTGGGTAGGAACGCGGCTGCAACTGAGCAGCGTGGGGGGGTGTGTGTGGGCCTGCACGTGCAGCTTGGTGACGGCAATATAGAGGCAGCTTCACGCCTATGCCCCTGGAGTGTTACATCCACAGAGGGAAGACTGATGATGATTCCAAACAGGAATCCTCCACGTGAGGATTTGTGTTGGCTGAGTAACCCAGGAAAGTGATGGCCTTTGAAATTTAAGCACAAGGGGGTTTGAGTCACGATGTGCTTCGTACCCTTTGCTTTCCCGTGCTAGGAATAATTCTAGGGAACCCTAATAGAAATAAAACTCCAGTACTGAGAAGTTCCAAACCCAGGGTTGTTGACATTTCTAGTTTCAATTCATCTCAACTGCTACAACATTGGTTGTCTACACACGCTTTATAGTTTTCTTGGCATGGCATGCCACGTCATTCTCTCTCACCGGAAGTTCTCCTATAGTCCATTTGCGTAAGACAACGCTTGGCATTGAATTTTTTTATGTGGATGACATGGTTGGTCCAAGTACTTGGTTGGCATTTTCTTCATCTGCATGTGTCCCATTGCCATCTGCTGGAGAATGGTGAGCATGCTCACAGGGGCTGTTCGTTAGCCAAAGGGAGGAAGCTGTCCCCAGAGTCACCCCCTCTCTGTTCAAGTTTCATCGAGATTAATTTCTGGTCTCTCTGCTGCCAGGTGAGGCTGTGTATTGTATGTATGCTGGTAGTGGGAAACCCTGGGTCATGGCATGGTGCAGAAATACTTTGTGCCCCAGATAACAAACGCTGCATCAGGACAGAATGATCAAAGTCCTGTCTCAGATGCTCTTGCACAATAAAAATTAAATTCTCTTCCTTCGCTTAGAAGACGGTAATGCTTGTAACTGAGTTAGAAAGAGGCTGAGTTTAGGTTTACAGCTGAACAAAGATTAGGGGTGGAATTGCCTAACCACTTTGGATGAGACAGGAACTGGAAAACAAGGCCAAGGCCTGCAGTCGTGACTGGTGGCTTAAAGTTTGGACCTTGAGGTATTCCGTGTGGGTATTTTTTTCAGAAGTGTCAGGCCTTTGAAAATTGGGCCTGTCCAACCCAGTTTGGGTAGCAGAGCTCATTAGTCCTGTTACAAGATGTCAGCCTAGACCGTGGCCAGTCTGGATCCTATCCAGACATCCCCAGCGTTGGGACTGGAAGCTGCTGCCTGTCCCAGCTCCTGCAGATTGATTTAGAGCTAAAGAAGCCTGCATGAATGGGGCTTCATCACACTGTTCTGTTTGCAATGCAGGAGGCCTTCGAGGAGCTACGGTAGTAGACGCCTTAGATACTCTGTACATCATGGAACTCGAGGAGGAATTCCAAGAAGCAAAGAAGTGGGTGGAGAAGAGCTTTGACTTGAATGTGGTGAGTCAGTTACTGGGAATGCCTGTCTGTGTCACAGAAACACTTCGTGTTTGGCCAGTTCTGATCACAGTCTTCTCTAAGAATCATTTGGGGAGGGGAACTATGAAGTCTGTGGGGGAAGAAACCACTCAAGTCTGTTTTGGTTTTTTTAAGGCCAAAGGGACTATGTGATGATTCACCTCATCTTCTGCCTATACGTGGCACAGGGTTCCAGCCAGGGGCCACCAGATCAGACTCGCCATGTCTGGCTGAAAATGAGATTCAGTGTTTAATGTTTTTTGTGTTTTGGTCTGGGTTATAAAAACAGCTGTAATTATTAGATACTCCAAGGAAGTTTTATTCATCAGAGAACAAGTTCTGTTTCATCTCAGTTAGATGTCTGCCTGTGATAAGACGTTTTTTCTTTCTACCTGCTATAGATTAAGATTGAAAGTGCTAATCTCCTTGACTGGGCCCTTTGTTGGCATGTCATTGCCAGGACTTGCGCTGTGGGAGCCTGGCACCTTGGCAGCAAAGTGGGAGCACATAGTGAACCTGGATTCGGAAGGAAGGGCATCATCTCTAAAAATGGCCAGGGACGCTCGCTCTCTGTGGCCCCTGAAACTTTCCTAGCCCCTTCTTCTTAGAGCTAGTGTTAGACTCGCTGGGACTCTGGGCACAACACGTACTTTGCAGTGCTATCAAACGAAGGATGCTGTCCTTTATCTCACTTTGTGGCCAGGGCCCCTTGCTACAGCTCTGACTGTTGGTTTCCAAGCCAGCTCTTGTATTTCTCATGGGAGAGCTGATGGGATCTCATAAGTGGCGTACGAAGGATGTTAAAATCAGAGTGCAGTTCAAACTTCTCTTTTTTTAATGCCAGCCTAGTTGTCTGTTGTGAAAAATGGTTCTCCCCATGGGAACAATGCATGCAGCTGCCTTTATAGAAAAGCATCATTTGGGAGGGCACGACTGGCATTCATATATTCATAAAAGGAAGACCACATCTGATAAATTTGGTGAATGCTCTCAGTACGTTACTGAATCGATAAACAAGGGACAAAATCAACTGGGAGATAATTTATCTGGATTTCATAAAAGCTTTTAATCTTGGCCTGCGGAATAGATTGATCTGCAAAGACAAGAATGAATGCTATGGATTGATTGGTGGAGTCAGAAAGCACAGCAGAGGGAGAGAAGGAGGGAAATTAATTAAAAATTGGCTCTGTACAAGGAACTGTAATAGTCCGGAAAAGTGAGGCAAGGACTCCGAGGCCCACAAGCTCTGTTTGAAACCGGGTGCCATGATGTGTGTCATGCAATTTCAGTCATCATCTCAGGAAAGCGCTTGCTTGGATTTGTAACCTGCAGGTATTTGGAATGGGCAGACTAGCACAGAGGTTCAAGTACCCCTTTGCTCACTGCAAGTGCTGGGTTGATGGAAGATCTTCCTGGTTTTTGGCTTTATGCATTTGCATGAGGGTAGGAATCATTTATCATGCAGATTCAACGGCCAGGAGCTTGTAGTTTTGAAAGGCACATTTTGAATGCAATCATTTTGACATTTGCTGATCATCAGCTGAGTAGGTAGAGCAAAACTCATTCCAGGTGAGTGGGTTCTTGAGTGATTCAGTGAACCATATCCGCCTGCGTCTGCTGTCTGTGGTGGCAGGGCATGTGGCCATCATGCAGTTTGCCTCTCCGTAAGCATGCCCATGACAGGCACCCTACAGGCTGTGGTCCTCTCTGAGCCTGCAGACTGGGGTGAGTCTTTCAATGACAGAAAATATCTACCTAATGTAGGAAGCGTGTTACACTTTCATCACAAGAAAATGGAGAAAGTAATTTTTCCATGTGGCTGTACAATTTTCTCTTTAAATAAAACATTTCAAGGGGCAAACTTTTGCCCTAAACTAACAGCTTTTTGCAAGGCATCACCCAAGACAGGGTTGGATGGATGGACAATACATCTGCCCCGATTTACGTATTGTCAGCGGGTGATAAACGGGCGGTTTGGGTGCTTCTCTTCCCTTCAGGCTCCACCTGTCACTGTGGAGCAAATAAAGTGCTGTGAGATCTTAGACGAAAAGCTGTGTTACACTGTGAGTGAGGACTGGGAGACTTAAGTATCTGCTTACAATCTGTTCCCTTTAGCTGCCATTTGTGCGTGCAGACTTTGCAGTCAAGTATATCATTATGTATTTTCAGAATGGAGAAGCATCCTTGTTTGAGGTGAACATCCGCTATATTGGAGGACTGTTGGCCGCATACTACTTAACTGGAGAAGAGGTTTGTTTCAGCAGCTCTGCATGTCTCACACAGTCACCAATAATGAACTGAAAGGGCTCTGCAGCAGCTTTTCTCTGAGCATCAGATAATCCCTCCATAACAACACGCTAAACCTATCGTTTTTATGAATATCGAAATGCCACTAATGTTCTTTTAATTAAGTCTCGCCTAATTACCTTGCACACACCGTGCATGGCTCATTTGCAAAGATCTTTTCTCCTGTGGACAATTCTAGCAAGACATGTTTTCGGTTGGACACATTGCTCCCCAGTGAAATGCCATTTGCAGTGATCTTTGTCTTTGTACTTGTTCCTTTGTATTCTAAACATAGGCAATATTTCATCAACCGTCATTCCAGATTCTGCCTTGGACTAAGGAGGGCACCTGATTAGTGGCGAGGGTCTCACACTCTGCCTGGACAATCTTTGTGTAGCAATAGTTTCTAAGATAATGTGCCCTGGGGTACAGGGAAGGATGGTAACAAACTGCCAGGGCAGGGTACCTGTATCCTGCCAACTCCTGTGAGGAAGTGAATACAGCTCCACAAAATGTCCGCTTGCCCAGTAGGTGTGGGCTAGGTGTCACAGCCCCTCCTGCAGCGTGGTGGAGCAGCCGTTCAGTGCATGCTCCCATCCCCCAGGAGTCCTGGCTAAAGCTGGAGGCTCTCGCTTCCACTTTCCTTCTTTTCTGCAGCCTGGCAGAGGCCAGGGCTTAATGCCATAATCTGTTTTGTAATGTGACTGGACTGGAATTTTACAGCTGGCTGTAGAGAGATGAAGAGATTATTCCTTTGCCCTGGAAGTCTTAGGTGAGCAGAAACTCTAATTCAAGGATGAGGTTTGTGAGTGAAGGAACTGGAAGACTGACTCTTAAATGAGAGCTTAGCTGTCATGCCACACACTGACCGTGGCTGGGTGCTGTCCACCATAATAGGATGGGATGGCTCATCACTGCATAGTGGCACCGTTGATTTGTGGAGTCACAGGAGCAGCTCTGCTACTTTCGTTTCATTTTAAATGAGTTCCAGGAAAGACTTCTCTCTGTGATTTCCCTCCAGGGAAAACTCTCAAAGACTCAGGGCCTGTCTCAGTCACAACTTCAACAGGCTTCAGATCAACAGAGTAAAAAGAAACCACGTTAAACCATAAAACTCCAGCAGTGACCTCTTGAAGTGCAGTCAGCAGCGATGCTCAGCAGCCAGGGCAGTGCCTGTCATATACCCAGTCAGTGTCACCAGGCTGAAAGGCAAAAATCAAGTCCCTGTCTCTTGCTTTCCCTTCTGAACCAAACCACCACCTCCTTGTGAGTGTATCAAAGGTCTGCAAGCCCACAGGAGAGCTCAGGTTTCCTCGGTGCTGTATTTTTTGAGCAATAAATTCCTGCTTTCTGAGAACTACTGTGACAGCTTGGGCTGGTATAGCGGGGCTAGAGGTAAAAGGCTTGTGGTTTATCTCCTAAGTCACTTAACAGGCTTCCCTTGATCAGGACTAATCTCTGGAGCAAAGATTAGTGCTTGTATCATTTTGTCCCAAAATAATTGTGTATGGTGGCTTTGTGCTGCAAGCCACTATAAGCTATAATTTGATTTGAAAGCCCAAAACTCAGGCATTAAAAATGGAAAAGGAGCAGCTTAGCCGTGAAACCATGAATCCTTCCTGGAAAAGAGTTGCAAGTAAAAGACTGTTTGTTGGAAATCATGTTTTTTGCAACAGCAGATGACTCAGGCTAGACAAACCCAAGTTGTAAATCTAACAATGTTTCACCCTAGAGAGATTTCTTTCAATTTTAATTCAGTCATTTCACTTCCTTATGTCCTCTGCCACCCTGGGAAAAGGGAAGAATTTGTCCCCAAAGAGTGGTCTTTGGATCAGTTCACTGAAATTTGCTGCTGAGGTATTTGGGGCGTTCTGAGCTCTGCAGCTCTGGCTGCTCTCATCCAGGCTGTGTGTTTGGCAGGGGACTTGCAACTGGTTTAGCATAGATTTTTAGAGGACACTTTCAGTTTTTTATAATATTGTATTTGAAAAGGGGCGTTTGAAAGAATCCAGTGTGAGTAGTATTCACAAGCAGTCCATCAAATATTTATCCTCTCTTCTTTTTAACAGGTGTTCAAGAGTAAAGCTCTGGAACTTGGAGAGAAACTTTTGCCAGCTTTTAACACCCCCACTGGTATCCCACGTGGCGTCATAAATCTGGGCAGGCAAGACACACGTCCTTACAAGCATGTCATTTTATTACTGAATGTTTGTAAAAGACCAGGACTCAAGCAGGAACAGCAGCAGTTCCTCAGAGGTGCCCCCCTCTAGTGCAGATTCTTCGAGGTCATTTGTTTTGCCAACTCAAAACCAAGAGGTGCCTTGGCAGAGATCGCAGGTGACTCAAGTTAAACCCAGCTGTGTTTTATTAATTTTGGGCTATCCGCAGTTTCTTGCTCTACCCCTTGGCAGGGCTCCCTGCTGCAATAGCATTTTCCTCACTCTCATTTTCTTTGAAAGGTTATTTGTAGTCTGCACATAGCATGCAGTGCACTCTGTATCTTTGCAGTGTGCCCAACTAGATGCATGTGAATTTATCCAGGCTCCGTATTTGGAAAAATTGGGAAAGGAACTGGATGGGACTGGCTGACAGTTTTGCTGCTAGAAATGGGGGGGGAGTATACAGATCCTCTAGTTTTCTCCCTGCTGGCAGCACTCACCCAGGTGTCTATCCTTCACTTACAGCCTCAACGTTTCATGTCAGGTAGGTGGTGGTCTCATGCTGGAGGGGAGCTTTGAGGCAGCTGGGTTAAATAGCTTGCTGAAGGTCTCTCAGCAAACAGCGGCAAACCTGGAGGCTGGACTCCCAGTTTCTGATTCTTGTTGGTAGACAGTGTTCTCTGCCAATAAGGGCTCATTGGCTCATTTTGATGCCTACAAACAAATCCCCCAGGGTAAGAGCTGCATGCCGGCTGAAACAGAGACAGCAAGAAATGTGGATTAACAAAAGCCTTTCATCCTCACCTCTTGCAAAACTCAGAGCGGCAGCCATGAAAATCATTATTCGTCTCCTAGCCCAAATCTGTTTTGGCTCGCGTCTCTGTGAAGTGCAAGACTTTTGAATGTTTGGCTCACGCTGATCCATTGCTCAAATATCACTGTCACCCTTCAGTTGTCTTTCTGCACATGATCCCAGTGAAAATTTGAGCCAGTACCACGACTTTAATTGTCTCTTTTTACAGAAGAGACATTCTGCTTCCTCTATGGCTGATAAAGACTCGGCATAGACTAACCTTTCACAGAAATGCCAAACCCTCCCCTGCCCTTTGTGAAGACAATTGAAACAGACTGTGTCTGCTTAGACATTCCCAAAATGTTTTGCTGATGACCTTGACTAAGAGCAAAGAAAATCAAAATAACACTGAGCCCACAATCCAGAACCCATATTACTGGCCTGAGCTCTGGCTTCAGGGCCATGGAACTGTTGCGAGGGCCCTGAGTATCAGTTGATTTAGGAGCAAGGATGAAGTGAGCTGAATCTGTAGCCTGACTACTACAGGAACATGATGAACAGCCAAAGTCTGCAAACCCAAAGGGGAAGGGAGTTACTCAGTGTGAGAAAGCGCGTGGAAGTGGAAGCAGAGGAGAGTGAGGTGATGCTGTGAGAGCACACTGACCCAAATTTCAGGGCCAAACCAAAGCCCCCAGAAGAGTTTTGCAAGAAGGAGTTCTCTCTCCAGTTCTACTTTTATGAGGATGTGCTAATTCCAGAGAGACCTCATCATCTCAAAGGGAGGGGAGTCTTGCAGCATGTGTAGGCTTTTGGTGGTGGTAGCTTGGGGGAGTGGGTTAAGAATGACATTCAGAAATTTGAAACAAACAACAAGCTGGCATTAAGTCAATTCTGCATATACATTTTTGAGGACCCAGGGACAAAGACACCCACCCTCCCAGTTCTTCCCATAGCCAGCTGGCTCTGTCTCTTCCTATCACCTCATGCCACCTTTTCCTCTTGTGTCCCCTCTCCGCTGATGTGCTTCCCTGTGGCCTTCTGTTTTCATGCAGGCACTGTATCATATCTCGCACAGGCTTGTTTTCCATCCTGCTGGTCCAGCTGCCACGTTGTCTGCCAGGTCCTAGAGTACATTGTCTTCCCAAGCTGCAGCTCTCTGCTCTCTGCCTGCATGTTACACTGTGATTTCTCTCACTGTGCCTCCTGTTCCGGGTTCCTGGCCCCTGCTTTTCTTCACATCTCCCCTAAACCCTCTGCACCTCCTGATTTTTCCTCATTATCCTCTCCTGGTCTCTCTCATGACTTGGCACTGGTTTGCTGCTTTGGTTCTCTGTGAGGGAAGGAGATGATACAACCATTTTCAGTCCATGCTTGCACTGGACAGTGTTTAAGGAAGACCCACTGGGGGATAAAGAGAGCTCTGGGCATTTTCTTTTGTCTTGAAGACCAAGGACCTTTAAACAGTAGTCTCCTCTGAGATGTTATAAAACAGGGCAGCTGTGAAGACCCAGTTTGTCCAGTCTGTAATACTGAACAAATGTTTTCCTGCAGGAGGTCATTTCAGGCTGCTCTTTAACCCAGGGACACATTGCAGCTGTACTCTGTTTCCTCCAGACCAACCTCTCCTTGAGCTTTACTGTGTTTTGTAACCTCAGGGCTTGAGTTCCCGGCAGCATGGTCCTTGCAGGCAGTGCCTGGCTTGCATTTTTGGGATGGAAGTTCCCAGAGGAGTGTTGTGTCGGCCACTGTGACCCCACATAGCTGCTGTCACAACAAACACGGCCCCATTTGGCTGCTTCCAAGCACTTCTCATTTGAACTAGCTCAGAAGGCAGTTTCTGTTTGTGAGATCGTATTTGTTACAATGTCCCTTCAGTGCAGTAAATAAAGAAAAAGTAATTGACTCTTTATAGATATGAGAACACCATGGGATTGTTCAGCACGCCCATCCCAGGGCCAGCTGCTGCCAGCTTCAGCAGATATGTCCAATGCGGTATTAATGCCAGCATTAACCTGGTCAGACTGGAGGACCTTTCTGCCTGCATGGGGAGATTTCTGCCATAAACACGCGATGTTATTAGGGTACCCGTTTTAGCTGCACACAGTGTTTTCAAATGAAAAGCTGGTGATACAGCCTCCTGACAGTTTGCAGGGAAGGCTGACGTTTGGCAGTGACTGAGCAATTTGAAACAGCGTGAACATATTGCTTATCTAATGGCTCTTTTTGTCTGGAGGCGAAACAAACAGCTCTGGACCTGAAATGGTTTTCTGTATATCACATGGAGGGGAAACTTCCCTCCCCCCCTCTGAAAGATCATTAGTTTTAGCCTCCTGTAAACAACACAAACCCTTTACTTCTAATAGTCAAGCTTGCAGGCGCCATCTAGTGTTACTCCCGCCCCCCCCCATCACTGGAAACCTGTTACTTCATCAGTATCATCTGCAAACAGCGCTTGCAAAAAGATGTGAAAATCAAAGCCCACTTCTGAGATGGCTCAGCCAAGTTTCCCTGGGCCAGCACCTGCAGAGGCTGTTTTGGGACCAAGGCTTAAGAACATCAGGCATTTTCACGTCTGTGTGGATTTCAGAGAGGTGCAGAGCTGTAATCTGAAGTGTGGGGTACAAGAAGGAAGTGGTTGAATGTAAAAGTAAATCCCAGGGTGAGGCTGTTAGTGCTCAGAAGAGCCTTTGCCTCTCCATGTCCTTTGGTTAGTTTTCTTTGAGATTTAAGGGAGAAGTGGTGCCCTTCTCATCCCTAGAATCAATTCCTTGCTTTGCTTCAGTGCTGATTTCTCTCTTTGCATGGATTTGGCAGCGTGAGGGGAGACAAACAGAAACTGAGAAGGGCTCCCAGTATGTCAGAAGCAGTGTCAAGTATATATAAAGAGTGTGAGATCTTGTTGAAACAAGGTGCTTAGGAACAGTCTGGATTCTCCATAAACTAGAAGACTTGTTGGGCTTGTGGGGCATTCGAAATGCGAGAGTGCAGCTCACGCTACTTACAGACACATTTTATCTCAAAGCATCTTGTGTAGGACAGGTTGTCAGTGTTCTTCCAAAGTTTGCTTTAAGCTGATCCATTTGGGAGGGATTCCTCTCTCACAAAAACTGCAGTTTCTCAGCATATGCAGTCTGTGTGTTTGCCCTATCCTAAACAATCCTTTGTAAAACTGTTGTTCCATCCCAGTAGAACTGGTCCTGTGAGAGTCCTGAAAATCTGTTTATGTCCTTTATATGGCCCCTGCTGAGACCTGGTGTGCACTGCATGCACATAGCAAAGGCAGGATCTGCACGGGGGCAGTGGGGGGGACCTCAGGCTTTGGCTGTGTTTTCCTGGATATGAAGGCTCCTTTTTCTCTCTTTGCAGTGGCATGAGTTGGAGTTGGGGTTGGGCATCTGCCGGAAGCAGCATCTTAGCAGAATTTGGTACCTTGCACTTAGAATTCCTGCACCTCTCGGAGCTCTCTGGCAACCCGGTGTTTGCAGAAAAGGCAAGTAATTCCCAACCTGGGCTTTAGTGAATTGGTGTCATCGTATTCCTGGGGTCAGTGCTGGAGCAGAGCAGCACTTTGGTCTGCCAGCAGCAGGCACCATGGCAGCAAAGCGTTCCTTCTCCCCAGTACGCAGAGGTCACCAGGCCTCAGAGCATCCTATGCACCAGCTCACTGAAAAGGTCACAGGGGGCAGGAGCTGGAGATCCTGTCACACCAACAGGCCTTGGAAGGCAGCTGCCAAAGTGTTTTCTTTGGCCATTTTCATTTGCTGTAGCCCCTTCACCGGCTTCTCTATCACTTGCAGCCACTGGGGAGATGGGGATGTTTTTCCCCAATGTCTCAGTCATGTGAAGTTGTAGCAAAAACTTACCTCAGACAAGGGCACAGCCAAAATTAAACCATCTGTTGGATGCAGACTGCAAAGATAGTTGTTAATTCTGATATCCTGATAGTAGTGCCTTGTACTTGTAGACCTTTTTACTCTGAACAGGTATTAAATGTTATGCTCCAGCCAGCAAGATTTCTGCTGAGGTTTCTTGTGTGGGAAAGGCCTGACAATTGACATACTGGATTCCTTCTGTGTAACTTGTAGCTGAAAATCTATTAATATTATACTTGAGCTTTCTTTTTTTCCACAAGTGATCTTGTAGTGCATGTGAGAGCAACTTAATAAATATGCTGTTGAATACCAGCAAGTCATTAGCTTTTGCTGCACATCCCTGAGGAACCAGATTTGAGGGAGACAAATTGTTCCAGTTAGAATCCAAAGTGTCCCCGTGAGTCCAAAGGAAATGGGGCCTGTCCAGAGTCCCACAGTGGGGTGAAAACAGACAGCGGTTCTGGGATTGCCAATAAAAAGCTCAAAATGGTACATTTCAGGGTATTGCCAGTGCAGGTCTGACAGCTGTGGAACAAGAAGAGAATTTGCAGAAGAGACAGGAAGAAAGAGAAAGAAGCAGCTAGGAGAGCAAAATGGAGAATAGGATGGAGTGTATGGGAAGCAGTAAGGGTGGTGTGAGCAAGAGGAATGTCACAGAGGGGTGAGCAGGAGAGAACTGAGGAGGGTGAAGGGAAACTACAGACCCAGGAAATTCTGTAGGGAAGATAAAGACAGGCTGGTGGTTTGAAATAAGAGACAAGCTAAAGATTCCTGACGACAGTGATAATGACAAATTGCTCAGAGGAAAGCAGGGAGCTGAGAAAAGCCAGTAAAGGGAACAGAGATATGGAAAGAAAATGCATGGGAAGGAAATGAAGGGGGCGGAGGAAGAGAGATGAGCACTGAAAATACCAGGCAGGAAGATGCACCGTTAAAAACTAGAGCTGCGTCCATATTCCAGGTTCAAACTGTGGCATTTCGAGCCAGGGTCAAGCCTCTCTCCCCACCCTAACATGTTTTGCTCTTCGCCCCCTAAGCCTGTAGAGAGATTAAGGGCAGAACCTTTATAATGGACTCCCCTGAGTGGAGCGTGCCTGGTGTGTGCCACAGAAGATGTATTGCATTCATCCTAACACCCTCTGAGGGAAAAAATGTAGGCTGATGTGGGCTCCAACAGCCCATCCTGTGGGAAATTACTTCAGAGGAACAGATCAACTCATTAACTTGCAGCTTGGGACTTGTGTGATTTTAGCAAGAATAAAGTCCATCTGTGTCTTTTATTCAAACATGTCATTAATATGCCATGCTACTAAACTTCAGTAAATATTATGCAGCCTGACGACTTACTTGGAAGCACCGACTTAAGTCTGTAGCCAGCTTTTGGCGTACAAATTGTCTAATTTTATAAAAGGTTTAGAGTGTATTAGCTGCTCTGTAGGTTGTAATAGAATATTTATGCTGCATACCATTTAACTTTGTCCCTTATGGGAGAGGCCTATTGGATTTAATGGGGGTGAAACCAAGGGAGGTTTTAGAGCGTAAGTACAGCTGTTCTAGCATATTAAAGGAGCTGTCTGTTGTTGAAATTAAAGGCCCCAATTCATCATGTTAAGTGACCGCATGGTGAATTTAAGTACTGTGTGAGTCACTCATCCCTGCCACACTCCTTTCCCTTTGGATCATGGAAAAAATCACCCTCCGCATCTCATCCGTTTCCACCCAGATCCCAAATCCTCAGGATTGCTTCTGGACCACTGTTGGCAAACTGCTTCCACTGCTTGCTGAACTGGGGCCTTGCAGAGTTTTTAGAAAATCACTTCTAAAATCCTGCAGAGCTGGATAAAGATTGTGCTGAGGAATCCAGCAGAAAAGTTTCTCCATAACAGCCCTCTCACCGGAGAGCCATGCCATTGGGTTCTGCTTGCATGATGATTCACAGCGTTACAGGCTGCTGTGCTTGTTCAGCCAGGGATCAGCACTGATGAACTGCAGAGTCCTCAGCGACAGTGCAAAACCGCCAGCTTTGTCAGCAGGGAAGTAACATAGTTCTTGTCTCTCATCTCTCCTAGGTGATGAACATCCGCAAAGTCCTGAACAGAGTTGAGAAGCCACAGGGCCTTTATCCCAACTTTCTCAGCCCAGTGACGGGAAACTGGGTGCAGCGTAGGTATCACTCTGTGTTCAGAGTCCTGCCCGGAGCATTTCAGTCGTTCCATTATTCTTTAGGAAGCAATAGCAACTGTCAGAGCAGCAAGCCAAGGAAATGTCTTGTCATTGCCTGTTATACATGTGATTAGATAATGCAACCCGATTTGTAAGATGCAATATAGTAATTGTACACTTATTCCATCAGCCTCGTTTCCAGCTGAGTATCTCACCTCCAGAAAGAATTAGGGCCTCTCTTGCACAGGGAAGGATAATGTTACATGGTTCATCACACAGATATTAAAATTGGCACATCTCTTTAAGACCTCATCCTGCAGTCATCACATAGCCCACAGAACTCCTTGGGAGTTGCACGTGAAGGCTGTGAGCAGAAGCGCTGAGATTTACTTCCTGACTGTGCTGCAGCAAGTAAGGAACCACCTGGAGAGGCAGAGGGCTTACAGAGTTGCGGATCCCCCTAAGATCTAGGGATGTGTTCTGTTGTGCGCATTCGTGTGCCTGTCACCGCAGTGCCTCTGCGTAGTGAGATTTTGTGCAAGAAGGGTGAGATGAGTATGTGTTCTTTTCTCTTGTTGGGGACCCAGCACTGGCAACATGGGCAGTAAATAGATACTGCTCTGATATGGAAGAGGAGCAATAACCAGGAAAGGGCTTGAAAAGAGCAAGGAAATATGAGAAGCATTGTACCCAGGGAAAGATTATTGACTTTCCTGCTTTATGCACACAGCCTCTTCCTTACCCACAGAAGAGACCGTACCCCTCTTTTTGTGCCACCCAAGCACGAGAGGCTACTTCTGCTGCTGTGCCCCAGATCTCTCACCTCAACTTTCCACTCTGTTAAGGATTTCCTTGTTTTGACAAGGGAGAGTTGCTGGATTTCGTGTTTCTCTGTCAAAGGAAAGAAAAGTCTCTTTCTGGAGAAGCTGTTTTTAACCTGTCAGTGGATTACATTTATATTGTTTAAGCAGTTTTCTTTGAGTCATTGCATTACATGGTGTCCCCATGTCTCATTGCACTGTTTGCTCTTCTAGATTGCTCCAGGCCTCTCTTAACTACTGTATTCACAGCTCTGATTGTAACTGACGGGCAGTTGCATGGCTGCCATCCTCTGAGACAGTGAGAGAGCACTAGCTGCAAGCAATCCCTGACCTTTAACTGCCCTATCAGCACCTCTAATGGTAATTGGCTGGGCTTGGCTTGAGAGGTGCCCCAACAAAGCATCTTGGATGGTTGCAGTTGTCCCATTAAACCAGAGCTGTCCTTTGGTGCCATGAGGAAAGAAGATAGGCTTCTGTGTTTGTCCCATTAATTGGTCTTCAAAGTTATCCGATCCCTTTGTAAGCAGTTTGGCTTCCCCTCCACATTTGTCTCTGCAGAGTTGTTGCAATATGTTCCACTTGAAAAGCTCATCTCCCATCCCCTACCGCACCCCTGAGATGCCATTTTCTTTAGGTTATTCCCAACTGGCAGCCACACTGCACATTTTCCCAGACACAAGCATTAATTCTGCCTATTCATTGGTGCTGAGAGGAGAAGTGCCTGTCTGTTGCCATAACTTATTGTTACAAAATCTTTGGGAAACTGAAGAACTGTGCTCTTAATTCAGATGGTTATAAAACTCAGCTTGATGCTCGGTATTCACTCTTCTGCCACCAATTTAATTCTATTTATGTCTGCAAATTTTACTTCATTGTACTGATCTGCTCCCCGCCCCTTGCTGACATACAGAGGGGCCTGTTGCTGGTCCTTGGAGCTTATTAAAAGTAGCCTCTGATTACTTGTTCTGGGATAGGCTGATTTATGCAAAAGGACTAGAGATAACCTCTCTCCTAGACTTGCACGTCATGAGGGCAACTCGTGGCACAGGCTGTTTGCAGCAGTTGCTCATAACATGACCTTGTGGTCTGAATCCGTATTCCAGGGAGGGAAAAGGCTGATCAGCCTCTTCTGCATCCCCAGTACTGCTGGTGAGAAATAGATTAGGACCAAAGTAGGGAGGCAGCTGCAGCCTGCCACAGAGATGTTCCCTGTAGGTGCCAGGCTCTCATTTTCTCTCTTGTCATTAAAGCTCCTCGCGGGAAGCTATTTTTCTTGGAATTGCTGTGATTTTCTTAAAAGGTGTATCTTTGACCTGGCTGAATGAGCAGATCTTCTAAATGAAGAGGCAGTGCTGTACCTCTTCTGAGTGCAGTTGTTACCTTTAGAAAATTAAAGCATGGTCCCCTGCTGAAATAAGAGATTTGTTTATGCAAAGTACCTAGGAGGCAAATGCTGGCAAAGCTGATGCCATATGGAAAGCAATTATGTACCAGAGCTCCTGCTTTGGTGATTTTATGAATGACACACTTAGGATCACAGAGCTTCTCTTTAAAGACAGGCTGTGCAGCCAGTGTTTGCAAATAGTCTGTCCTCTTTTTTTTCTGAATTTGTGCGTCTGATCTCATTGTTTTGCTATGGATTATTCCGTGGATCATTGGACACACTGTATCAGGGATATTTGCTCTTTAGGGCAGGAAAACGCATGGCTGTTGATCTCTTCTGTTGGTAGGATTTAGCATTTAGAATAAGCCTCAGGACTTTATATATGCACAGTGAAAGGGAAAATCAAACTCTGAACAGCTAAATCCAAAAACCCTGCTGCATCTGCTTACGTTTAAAATGGGGACGCATGCAGATGCAGAGGTGGACACTGTTAATTAACAGGGATGGTTCGGTCCATGGTGGGCAATTTGTCTTACTCTTCTAAAAAGGGGAGTACTTGGCTGCTTGAAAGAATGAATGCTGCTCTTCCCCCTGTGGTATAGTTTAAAGATATAAATCCATCCAGCAGTTCCCCCCAGGCAGAAACCTGCAGCTGTCATGCCCATTTCACAGTGCAATTCTTTAGCATCCTCCTCTCCAGTAAGGTCATAGCATTGTGTACTCTGAACGATAGCCTTGAAAATCCGATTTCTGCAGAAGAAAATATTCAGCGCGCATCCTTGTACCTGACTTTATCATTTTCATACGCCAACAGCCCCAGCCTTCCCCAGGGCACAGAGTCCCACCGTGGGCGAGGAATAGAAATGGCATGATTGAGAGGTCCCTACAGCAGCCCCTTGCTGGCAGCTCTGTGTGATCCAACACGCGTTCTCCCTTTCCTGAGGCAGGGAGGCAGCACCCAGTGGCTTCATATAGGCAGAGATCTATCAATACTTGCCATCGCTTTTGGTTTATGAGGCTGGGATTTGCGATGATTGCTTCATAAACAGGAAGCATCTTCAAGTTGCAGTATAAATGTTGCAAAATAAGACCTCTGAATAGTTTTGGTAAGGGATACTAATGCTTTGTAAAATGACAGAACATTTTTCTTCTGATTGCACTTTCCACCTTTCTTCCTTTTTGAAAAAGAAATGCTGCAAGCTCTCCCCAGGAAACCGGAAAGAGGAAGGAGAGAACAAGGGCGTTAAATAGGACATGGTGGTTTGCTCTTTGTAAAGCAGCTGCTCATTGTATATCATGAACCTGAAGTTCTTTTCTGGCTTTCCCACTACAGACCATGTCTCCATTGGGGGGCTTGGGGACAGCTTTTATGAATATCTCATCAAATCTTGGCTGATGTCAGACAAGAAAGACTCTGAAGCTAAAAAGATGTATGATGATGCACTAGAGGTAAGGAACAGGTTGCTGCTCTGTATTTTTTGTGGGGGATGTTGTTCATCTGAATGTTTGGGCAAAAATGTCTTGGATCTTTGGGTTTCCTTGCTATTCACTCCTCACCCTGTCCACTAAGTATCCTGAAATCCTGATTTTCAATCCTTTAGGCAATAGAAAAGCATTTGGTCAAAAAGTCTGCTGGAGGATTGACCTACATTGCTGAATGGAGGGGTGGCATCTTGGATCACAAAATGGGCCACTTGGCTTGCTTCTCTGGGGGCATGATAGCACTTGGAGCTGAACACGCGGGTGAAGAGAGGAAGCAACATTACGTGGACCTCGCTGGAGAAATAACAAACACGTGTCACGAGTCTTATGCACGCTCAGGTAAACCTGTGGGCTGCCTAGCAAACGTTAGTAAGGGGGGTAGCTTACAGCCTTAGGAGACTCAGCTTTTGTGTGGCAGAGGTTTGCAGTAGGGTATTTTGTGCTTCAGCAGCATCTGCATCCCTGTGTATGATTTTCACTTGTCTTTTCTGGGATATCTAGAAGAGAAAGCAATATGCTTTACATAGCAGACAGCTGGAGCAGAGGGACAGGCAGATGTGAGCTCCTGTGGCAGGGCTGAGAAATGAACCCAGAGCTGAATCCTAGTCCTGCCTCCCAGGCGCAGAGCTAGCCTTCTCCCAACAAGACTATAATTTGAGTCTGTCCTTTCACATCCCTTTGCAGACAAGAAGGGGAGATTAACAGAGATTAATTGCAGGGTGTCCCACTATACGGAGCAGAGCAGCTGAGAAGCCCAACAGGAGAGTGTTGGAGACCTGCAGCTGCTGGTAGGAACCCAAAAAAATCAAGTTACTCAGCCTCTACCGGCTGTCTAAGCAGAGGCTGGCTAAGTCTCTCTATTTTGCAAGTCTGGTAAAATTTGTTTCATCACACAGTGTGCTTATCAGGCTTTGGGAGAGCAGTGACTCATGGTGAATGAGAGACTGGGTTAGTTCTCAGCCTGCAGGGCTTTCAGCAGGGTGAGCTTGCTTTGGACACCACTCCTTCCTTTGTAGGCATCTCTGTAGGTCTTCTGAGACTGCAGGCAGCAAAGCAGCAGTCTGCTTCCCAGGACCTTGCCAAGCACAGGTGTGTCTGCACTAACTCTTCCCAAAGATTGGTTCACACCTTCACCACATCAGCAAGCCCATATTGGCAGCTGGTGTCCAGCATATTTGCCCAATAAACTTCAAGCTAACCTGAAATGATGTTTGCAAATAACCCTTTTTTTCCCCCTCAGCACTTACAGAACTAAAACAAGCCACCCAAACTAATAACCCTCTGGTTGTGAGTGCCTGGAGCCAATTTTCACCTTCAGCAATATCCATCAGTGTAGAAAGGACAGTAGCAAGCCTGCCCACACTGGTTACGGTGCTGTCATTTCAGCAAGCTCGTTGTTTTGCAGAGAGTGTCTGTGCATGTCGCTCTGGCTCTCAGCAAATAGTCCAACTAGCAAACACTGTTAGGTCCCCACGCAGACAGGAGGGCTCAGGGAAGGTGTGCAAAATATTGAGAGAAATAAAATGTCTCCCTTGTGGCAGACACATGGGTGCAACAAGAGAAACCTTGTGGCATGATCATAAGCAACCTCTGTGCTCAGTGTCCCTGTTTTTCGAATAGGGAGAGGGTTGGTGTTGAAAGTAGGGATGTTGAGTGCTAGTGCTAGCTAATGCTTGCAAGAGATTGAGATTCTCATGTAAGGGACACTTGAAAAGACCAAGGTACCCTAACTGATGTTTTATTCATAAAATACCAGTGAGATTGATTAAGCCTCCCCCATCATCCTGATGTCTTCTATTCAAAGAAACTGCTAGTGGACCAGAAAGAAAGGCAGAAGAATTGATTGCAGGTCCCAGGTACCACTTCTTACGGTCTCTCTGCCGCAGTGCAGGCGAAATAGCTCAGTCTGGTGGACTGATAATTGTGAATCAAACCCCCTCCCTGGGAGGAGTGCATCAATACCTCTGTGATGGCAGGACCAGCTGTGTGGCTAGATTTTCCTTTGAATGTGTTTTCTTTTTGTGGTTTTAGAGCAGGATCTTCCTCTCTGTTGTTTTCTCATCTGGGTTCCGACTTTGTCTTCAGTGACGAACTCTGCTCTCAGGGTAAAGGGCAGTGCAATTCTTAGGAGCAAATCCAGCCCAGCAAAAGTGCCAGGACATGGGAGAGATTGGTACCTGTCCTCTCCAGGCTCAAATCTGGTCCAACTCTGTGTTTTGTCAGTTGTATCCACCCTCAGAAACACTTTATCCTCACCTAGACAGTGCCCAGACATACCACAGAATGAGCAACACCTGGACTGGCAGTGGGCACAGCTCATGCGCTCTGTGGCGTTGTCCCTGTTTTGACATGAGCTGTGAGGCTGAGCTGATGATACACAAGCATGACTGATCTGCTCATCTGACCTCACGCAAGCCTTAGTTAAATGTTGGCAGCCTGAGCAGCATAAAAGCATCTGGATGGTCTGTTTACTTGCTTTCTCCTCAAACTGATCATGGCATGTGTGTGATTTTGTCTAGATACCAAACTTGGCCCCGAAGCCTTTCGCTTTGATGCTGGAACTGAAGCCATGGCAACCAGACTCAGCGAGCGTTACTACATCCTACGTCCAGAAGTGGTAGAAAGCTACATGTACATGTGGCGGCTGACACACGATCCCAAGTACAGGCAGTGGGGCTGGGAGGTTGTGAAGGTATGGTTGGAAAATTTGCAGTAATAACTCTTACAGGCTGCTGGATTCTTAGAAAAAATTTTCCTTCGGTCAATAAAAAAAGCAGAAGTTATTTAAATTATGTTAGACACTAAGACACGTTGGCAATGGGGCAGAAATACACAAAATAGCTCAATTTAGTGTGGCATCTCTGTTGATCGTTGTGTTTTCTTCTCCCTTCTGGGCTTCACTAAAATCCATCAGTCAATCAAAACAGTGGAGGTTTATGGAGAGGAGTGCTGCAGACAGCAAAACCTGCTATTAATGTAACAGCCCTCTGCTAAAAGGAGTCAACCTCCTATTTGAAACATCTGTGCTGCTCAGAACCACTGGTTCGTAGTTGGCCAGGGAAAAGCAGCAAACTTGCCTTCGCCCTTCGTCTTGTCTTCTTCCCACAAAGACCTCCCAGCCAGAAAGTCACTCACTTCTTTCTAGCTCACGTGGTGAGAGCCCACTGGCTGCTGCTGGCATCCTAAGCAGGGGCTGTGTTTCAGTGGCAGAACTGTCATTTGTCTGGCGCCCTGGAAAAGAGGCTCTGCAAACAGCTAGAGTTGCCACTTGAGATCTGTTTTTGCTATGTGTGTAACGCCAGGGTCAATCAATCAACTAACTTAGGCTGTTTATGTTTCTCTTGCTCTTTCATTAGAAGTAGCTTTATTCCCAGAATCCGGAGTAATCACCATGCTCTTCAGTGAGAGACAGAGGCTACTTATAAGCCTGCAATTTGATTTGTAAAGCTGACTTGTACTGTAACTGATGATGATTAATGAGTTACTCCATGCTATTGTGTGTTACTGAGGTTTCTTTTCCTTTCTCAGGCCCTGGAAAAACATTGTAGAGTAGAAGCTGGTTTTTCTGGCATCCGAGATGTTTACACCACAACCCCAACCCATGACAACATGCAACAGAGTTTTTTCCTCGCAGAGACTCTGAAGTAAGTCCAGTATGACAGAGGCCTTTCAGAGTAGCATAATTCCTGCAGCATCAACACTCTTGTCTGATTAATAAGTCTCTAATAATAAGGGGGAAGTCTTATCCTCTGTGGGGAAAACTGGGCAAGACCATGGGTGCTACAAAGGTTTGGTAGCTTCCTCCTGTAGAACCACGGCTGTCATTGGCACTCTTGAGGTTTCTGCTCATGTGCTGGATTTAAAGGACTCTTCCTGTGATTTACAGCTGCTATAAGGAGGAGTCTGTGGCTCCTGAGCTCCCTTGGATTTAGCTCTGATGGTTTAAGAGACAGCTGTCAGCTCTGCTAGGTTCACGTCCTGTGCACAGAGGAAGCGTGACTGTGCCCTGAATTTGCTGCCCCGTGGTGCAGATCTGCCTTTGCTGGTAGCGTGAGCTAATGTTTGCGAGGTGGCTGGGCACAGATGCCTGCCCTGTTTTGCCACCTTTGCACCAGGGGTGGTAGTTTCTAGCAGGAGAATGAGGCAGGGAGTTGGGAAATGTGTCACCATAGACTGTGGCAGCTGAGGCCAGTGGCAGCCCCCATCACAGTCCTGTGACAGTACTTGCTTGTGTGTGCCTGGAGTCTCACCCAAGCTTCCTTTAATCTCCCTTTGTGTCCATCTTCTTCCCACCCACCCTCGCCGTATGGCTCCAGGTACCTCTATCTTCTGTTCTGTGAAGATGACGTGCTGTCCCTGGACGACTGGGTGTTCAACACAGAGGCTCACCCCCTGCCAGTCAACCACACGAACTTTAAAGCAAGTGTGCAGTAGTGAGGCCATTGCCCAGCACCCTGCTTCTGCAGCGTCGGCGGGTTACTGCATTTCCTTTCCATTAAAGGAATTCGCATTGTTCCTAAAATGGTATTTTGGGGCACTAGTCCAATTCCGGACAGTATTATATTGGGAAGATGAAACCATGAAGTAAGCACCTTCTTTTCCTCTGTGAGGAGCTCTATTAGCCTGATAATGAGATGTTTATTCTGGGCCATATTGTACACAGTTCATAGACATTCCTTTATACAGAGAATTTATATGAAATCCACTGACTTTGCTTTATAGTGGCCAAAGGACCGGAAGTTTGCCATAAAATAGACTTCACACACCCATCCTCCTTTCGTTTTTCTGTTTCATTTTTGCCTTTTATATACTCTTGGATTTATCACCTTTCTAATTAACAGTTTTCAATATACTGTGCTTTCTAGGTGGTAGGCTTGCTAGGCTCTTCAGGAAGGACAGGATAGGAGAAGGAGGAAGGGGAGTTGCCCTTTATGTGAGAGAGCAGCTGGAGTGCATGGAGCTCTGCCTGGGGATGGATGAGGAGCTGAATGAGAGTTTATGGGTTAGGATTACATTGAGGAGAGGTAAAGGTGACATTATGGTGGGTGCCTGCTATAGGCCACCTGACCAGGGAAAACAAGAGGATTGGGCCCTCTACAGACAGATGGGAGCAGCCTCAGGTTTGAATTTGTAGGCCCTGGTCCTCATGGGGGACTTCAACCACCCTGGGATCTGCTGGAGGGACAACACAGCAGGACCTAAGCCATCCAGGAGGTTCCTTGAGTGGACTGATGACAACTTGCTCCTCCAAGTGACAGAGGAGCCAACAAAGAGAGGTGCTCTGCTGGACCTTGTACACACCAACAGACAGGGGCTCGCCGGGGATGTGAAGACCAAAGGCAGCTTTGGCTGCAGTGACCATGAAATGGTGATATTCAGGATCCTGAGGGCAGGAAGGCAGGTGAAAAGCAAGCTCACAATCCTGGTCTTCAGGAGGGCAGACTTTGGCGTCTTCAAAGATCCACTTGGAAGAGTCTTGTGGGATAAGACCCTGGAGGGAAGAGGGGCCTAAGAAAGCCAGTTAATATTCAAGAATCATGTCCTCCAAACTCAAGAGAGCACAATTCCAATGAGCAAAACATCAGGCAAAGATGCCAGGAGGCCTGTGTGGATGACTCAAACAGAAAAAAGAGAAGCATACAGCGGGTTGAAGCAAGGATGGGTAACCTGGGAAGACTACAGAAACATTGTCTGAGCATGCAGGGCTGACATTAGGAGTGCTAAAGCCCAAATGGAATTTAATTCAGCCAGGAATGTCACAGTCAACAAGAAGGACTTCTGTAAGAACATAGGCAACAAAAGGAAGACTTGGAAAAAGTGGGCCCACTGCTCAACAAGACAGGGGACTTGGTTACACAGGACATGGAAAAAGTTGAAATTCCAAATGCCGCCTTTGCCTCAGTCTTTACTAGTGAGATAAGCCTTCAAGAATCCCAGGTTCCAGAGACCAGGGGGAAAGGCTGGAGCAAGGAAGATGTACCTTTGGTGGAACAGGATCAGGTCAGGGAATACTTAAGCAAACTGAGCATACATAAGTCCCTGGGCTTGGAAGGGATGCACCCATCAGTGCTGAGGGAGCTGGCAGATGTCACTGCAAGGCCACTCTCAATAATCTTTGATTGATCGTGGTGACTGGGAGAAGTGCCCCAAGACTGGAGTAAAGCAAATGTCACTCCTGTCTTCAAGAAGGGCAAGAAGGAGGACCCAAGGAACTGTAGGCTCATCAGCCTCACCTCAACCCCTGAGGAGCAAATCGTAGAAACCATTTCCAGGCACACAAATGACAAAAAATCCTTCAGGAGTGGCCAGCGTGGCTTCACCAAGGGGAAGTCATGCTCAGCCAGCTTGATAAACTTCTACAATGAGATGACTGGCCTGGTAGATGAGGGGAGAGCAGCAGACACTGTCTGCCTGGACTTCAGGAAGGCCTTTGACACTGTCAAAGGAAATTGTCATAGGTGAGCTGTTGACGTATGGAGTGGATGCGCGGGCAGTGAGGTGAGTTTAAAATGGGCTGAATGTTTGAGCATAGAGGTGGTGATCGGTGGCATGAAGTCTAGTTAGAGGCCAGTAACTAGCAGTGTACTCCAGGGGTCAATACTGGGTCCAGTCCTGTTTAACATCTTCATTAATGATCTGGATGATGGGGCAGAGTGTAAAAACACAAAAATAGGAGGGGTGGCTGATATACCAGAGGGACCTCAACAGGCTGGAGAAGTGGGCTGGTAAGAACCTAATGAAGTTCAACAAGCAGAATTGCAAAGTCCTGCACCTGGGAAGGAACAAGCCCATGCACCACTATGTGCTGAGGCACCTAGCTGGGAAGCAGCTTGGCAGAAAATGACCTAGGGGTCCTTTGGCCACCAAATTGACCATACACCAGCAATGTGCCATTGCTGCAAAGAAGGCTGATGGTATCCTGGACTGCATTAGACAAAGCATTGCCAGCAGGGCGAGGGAGGTGACCCTTCTCCTCTGCTCAGCACTAGTGAAGCCACACCTGGAGTGCTGTGTCCAATTCTGGGCTCCTCAGTACAAGAGAGACATGGACATACTTGAGAGAGTCCAACAAAGGGCCACAAAGATCATTAAGGGACTGGAACATCTCTCTTGTGAGGAAAGGCTGAGAGAGCTGGGACTGTTTAGTGTGGAGAAGAGAAAGCTCGGGGGGATCTTCTTAATGTATGTAAATACCCAAAGGGAGGGTGCCGAGAGGACGGAGCCAGGCTCTTCCCAGTGGGGCCCAGTGACAGGACCAGAGGCAATAGGCACAAACTGAAACACAGGAGGGGCTCTCTGAATGTGAGGAAACACTTTTTTTACTCTGAGGGTGACCAAGCACTGGCCCAGATTGCCCAGGGAGGCTGTGGTGTCTCTGTCCCTGGAGATATTCAGAAGCCACTTGGACACAGACCCAGGCAACTGGCTCTGGGTGGCCCTGCCTGAGCAGGGGCTTGGACCAGATGACCTCCAGAGGTCCCTGCCAGCCTCAACCATTCTGTGATTCTGTGATTCTGTGGTGTCAAAATTGTAACTAAATCAAAAACTGTCTGCAAAATTCTTGGTCCTAATGTATTTTTATATACTTTTTTTTCTGTGCTCTTAAAACACATTTACCACACATCACTTCTCATTTAACTTTTCCTTGATCGGTTTTGTGTTTTTCTACTTTTATTTGGAACTAAATGTTATGAGTCACTTGTAATAATTTCACTGCTGTAATAGTCAAATCTGTGAAACAGAATAAAAGTCTTGTAAAATAAAAAGCATGTTTGGGTTGATCCTCTTTAAAGCCATCTGTCAAAGACCTGTTACATCATGCTTGGAATAACTAGGTGACAATACTGGTTGATTTCAAGAATATTGCACAATAGACGTTGATTTCCAGAGTAATCTAGCCAGTGTATGGACAGCAATTCCCATCTGCACCAGCTCACTTAAATTGCTTGTTCACCATCTGATCTGCGTTAGCAGGAGTTCTACTAAATGTCTTATTTTTCTAACAAAAAATAAATAATCCCCAGCCAAGCTTGCTCTTCAGTGTACGTTGTTTGTGGAATGAAGTAACAGAAGAAGAAAATTGAAGCCAGATTCTTCCATGCGTCTGGCCACCGAACTAGCGGTTTAGCCAGCGTGGCCTCTGTAACTCTGAGCAGGGTGACTGCAGAGCTGTTCACACACCGCTCCTGTTCCGACCCTAGCAATCATGAATACCTGCTTAACAGTTCTCGCACCAAAGGGCTGGAGCTGGGATCGGCATCCTTTCCCCCAGCAGCCTTTCCTCTGGTCACTGCAAAGCCGCATGGCCCTCGGTGATGGAACATTTTGTTTGTTCTTGGTGATATTCTCTTGGTAATTGGTTCATTCCCCAACTTGGGAAGATAAAGTTGCTTTGAGCAAGTTGTGAAAACAAAAAATGTGTTTCTAACTTCATGCCTTTGTAATTCCCCAAGAGAAATAAGGTTGTCAGATGGGGACTTAGCATTATCCCGGGGATAAAGACAGTGGCTGGTAAGCCTAGCCTAGGGGAATGGTTATTGGTAAATAAACATCTTGGGAGTGAGCTGTGTTATCCGAGAGATTTGGATACCAGGAAGCTGGTTTAGCTCAGAGGATTTTTATGACGGATTAAGGGAATTCCATAAATAAAAATGTCCTGCTCTTGGAGTAACTCAAAACACTTTGCCTGACAAAATTTAAACCCCCCAAATAAACAGCATGGTTCTAGTTTCCTTTAGAAATAGATCCTTGGTGTTACATTAACACGCTGCTCTTGTTTTCTCTTCCACACAAGTGAGCAAGAACAGTGTTCATAAAGTCACATACGCTTTTAGAGGAGAGCTGCTGCTTTCCTGCAGTTCAGTAGCTGCATCACAAACAGGGAGGTTTTTTTAGTTGCCCAGCATCCCTGACGATGTAAAGCTTATCAATAAAGTTTGCTTACCGAGACACTCATATGGAGCTCAGCACCAGTCCCGATGAAAGCTTTTTGTTACAAACAGCCACGCTTGAAAATTTCCACTCTCGTAGACCACAATTCTGCAAATACTTCTTGCCTTTGCTCACAGATATCCACAGTTAAATCCCCAAGGCTGGTGGATTAATCACAGGCATCAAGTTAAGCATGCGTGTGTTTAGCTGGAGTAAAGATTTGTTCCAAGGATCAGCTTTGTTCCAAGGCTTGGCCCTGATCCATGACTGGGATTTTTCTGTCCTGTGCCAATGCAGGTAACAGAAACATTTGCCCCGCTGGGGTCTTGAAATGCTTCTGCTCTTTCCTCACTCCTCTGCACGCCTCCAGCCTTGGCTGGATGCTCTTGCTCGAGCAGAGCCCTCGGCTCTGGGAGCCCTGTGTGCGGAAGCAGGCTCTGGGATTTCCCCACTCCTGTCTTGCACCACCCTGTGCACTCTCTGCTAGGCAGGGGTGGCCGGACCTCTTGTCTCCATCCAGACGGGAACCCCTTTGTTTTTCTACTTTGAGTAGATAAATGGGGTGCTATGTTGAACCAGAGGTGGAAAGGATCTGGAAAGATGTGCATCTCTGAGCTGCTTTCCTGCCTTTTAGTCTCAAGCATGTGGGACACCAGTGGGAATTCTGATGTTGATTTTCGGGGGGGTGGTGTGGTGTGGTGTGTGTGTGTCCTACTTTTGAGTCATCTTACCAGGAAATGTGATCAGCCTAGGTTATTTCCCATTTCCCCTGTTACATTCAAATTCAGAAGCCATGATTACCATGTTAATTTTCACCATCCAAACATGTGGCCCTATTTTATGTCAGAAGGAATTTCCTGTGATTTGAAGTTCTGATAAAAGAAAGTTGCATTAGTTGTAGAGATGAAAACTAATAACTGTTGCTTGTAGAATGGCCGGCTGTTGTCGCCTGGCCATACAAGGAGATAAGACAAAACTATCCAGAAAACAAATGAATCTTTTTGTAAGCCACACTTCATTTTTACAGCATTATTAAATTCCCTTGGAAGGCTTTCAGCAGAATTGGTTATTAAATTCAAAAGCCTGGCAGTCATAGTATTTTTCCACATACATTTTGATCTGATCTACTTACCTGATTGTTTCAGATGTGATGCATCGAGCGCTGGCTCCCAGTGCAAGCAGTTGCAAAGTTTCAGCAGTTACTTCTGATCATGTTTGGGTCTTTGGCTTCATTCCCTGTGGGGTATAGAAGCACAGGTACCGGGCTCTAATTAGGAATCCTCTCAATAAAACACCCCTGCATTGTAAATGCTTTTGTTTTGTGAGAGCCAGCATGGTCAGAACTGTAAGTGACCCATCAGACTGGATTGCTTCCTCCTGAAGAGGCAAGGCCAAGGGGGAGTTAGGAATGCAAGCCCATGGGAATTTGGTAGGCATTGGCTCTTGCTCTTCAACTAAAATGGTACTTTGCAAAGTCTCAGTCAAAATTCATTTCCCTCCGCAGCCTTTGCTGGCTGTTCTTTTTTTCAGGATGAACTGTATGTTTTCCATGGCTGTGAAGCTTTGCCACAGTGCATCCCTGGAGCAGGACGCAAGCCCCTCCTCTGCAGTAAACACACCTCCGGTTTTCTTGTCCCCTTTGAAAAGCCCAATGTGAAACCAGACTTGGATACTCCATGTTCCTTACTGTTTTCCAGAGGATTGATGCTTTGGGGCCTCAGTCTGGTCAGGACTTGCTTCCTCAGGGGGTTTCTGTTTCCAGGTGCTTTCTCCATTCATGCATGGAGCTCAGATTTTAATGCCGCCTTCCATTACACCGTGATGGCTTTGACTTTAAAACGGGCCAGGGTTTCAGGCTACGGGAATGGGGCCATCAATTTAAAGGAGGACAGGGTTTCTCTGCTCTCACAACTGCCTCCCTGGAACGTGGAGTTACTGCATGTACTCCGACATCTGGAAACCCCATCCCTCTACTGCAAAAAAGGTCACTCCAAGATTTTCATCCCCGCTACCAGGTTCTATTTTTCTTATTTTCAGCCGGACTCTCTCCCTGCCAGCAAAAGGGGAAATCTGGGATAGTTTTTCCTGCTGGGTGAGTTTTCTTGGTGGAAATCTTCCTTGTTATTTTTCTGTCACAAGGATTTCCTTCGATACAAGTGTGCCTGGGTGGGCCACACAGCACATGTCTGGATATTCAGAATTCTTCCTGAGCGCTGTAGTCTGTAATCTCAAGAACCAGCAGTGTGGAGCCAGGAGTTGTTGGTTTTGTTCTCCTTTGAGGAGGATTAGTTCCCAGCAGATGCCCTGAATTATTTCACCTTTTGTCTTTCATTCTTTTTCCTATCAAATAATTCATCCGGTTGTCATCTTTATATGGTCGCTGGTGACACTGGAAATGCTTCAGATGTAAAATGAGCCCCTCTGCTTCTCGTTTAAATGGTATCATTTTGGCTCTGCCAGCCACCCCGTCAGGTCTCCTTCTCCATCTAGGCGTCTGCAGGCTTTGTCATTTCCTACCACCTCTTGCTCTTTTCCCAGACACCCAAGTACATTTATGCTGTTTCAAAGCCATCTCCTGTTACATTTTGTGCTTTAAAGGTACTTGCTGGGTTATTTGAGGTAAGCAAAAGCTCTCCACACCTCACTGCCCAACCTAATGAGTCCAGAAAGTTTTAAAGCACATCTGCTTAAAGTGCTTGAGTGCTTAATTCATTCACACCTG